AATCCATAGGGGGGGCCCAGAAAATGTTTGGAAACCGCTGGGGGGCGCAGGAGAAAAAGTTTGGGAACCACTGACATACTCCATGTTTACCCCACCTACTGGTCTGGGTGAGTAAAAACAACATTTAGGGTAGAATACAATATGGGTTTCCTTAACTCTTTAGCAGACTGGTTGGTTCTCAGTGTTTCTCTATTAGACAAAGCCAATTTAGTCTTTGTTCTGTTAAAGTTCCATTTATATTTCAAACAGCAACATAACAATTCATGTGTAAGGAATAGAAAAAATGTCTGCATCGCATTGAATCGGTTTCTGTGTCATTCACAGGGAGAAAGTATTTCCTGTCTTACCCGAGCGCCGAGGATCTCGCAGCAGGACTCTTCAATTGCAAGCGTTGGGTCACAATACAGCATCACCTGCTGAACATCCATCTGGAGAAGAGAGCATGAAAAACCAAGAGAGAGGAGGAAATTACTAACACGGTGCTTTGCATTCAGGGCTACGCGTCCGCGGCTGTATTTCTGCTATAAGTTAAAGCGAGGCAGTAAACATGGCTAAAGGCCAATTAATTTTTCCATTCAAACAAATCATTTGGAAAGCTGTTTGTTGAGAGCTTCACCTGCATGTGTGTGTACGAGCCATCCTTTCTACACTTACGAAGCATCTGTTTTGCATTCCAACGAAGGAGCCAACCTGCTTTTCATTAACATTCCTATCTTAATCTTGATTTATTCCATAGTCTTGCTGTAATAATCAAATTCAAATTAGAATCCCGTACATTAAACAAAATGCACATATCTCGCATAATCACATCAATAACTATATTTAATATAAATGTGCACTGTGTACTTTAGTAATGTGTGGCAAGGGATTTTATTGTGAGTTATTCCAAATGAGTTATTCCGCGTTCCTGTAAACTCATCAGGAGAAACACTTTTTTTACGTCTTTGCTTCTTACACAAACATCTGATAAAGGTAGCGATCTGTTTAAATTGTAACATTGGTTAATACACTGAACACCTGCCAGTCACCGTACATCAAATTTAACATAGAGCCTTAAGAATTCAATTGATCTCCCTCTGTTTTCTAAAGCTTGGAAGAATGTTGTGTTTGGTGGAAGTAAACTTTTTCAAGCATATCCAAAACCCATAAACCTTTGTCACGTTTTGTCACTATACAAACATATCTTCAGTGTGCTTAACAGGGATGTGACGTGGTAAATCAACACAAAGTTGTGCGTAGTTGTGAAGTTAAACTAAAACAAACATGAAAAGTATGATGGCCATTTTTAGTCAAAAACAATCAATTGAAATTCACCTCGAATGTGTGCTTCCCAACATCTGGAACTTTTATTTTTTAGGTTTAGAGATTTCACAAATTGAAATAGGAATTTTGAAAGTTTCTCTGTAATTGGAAAATAACATAACTTCATTTTCAGGGTTGGTTGGTTGTTAGAGGGGAAAAAAATAGTAGATCTTAGCCCACAACGAAACGTATTATTAGCCCTAAAAGGTAAAGGCTTATAATGCAGTGTCCGCAGCCAACCATTAAATTACCATTCAGATCTTATTGTAGGAGGTTTTGGAGAAGTTATTCTCACCTGCACCGGTCCGGCATCCGAGGCCCGAACACCCAGCAGTGTGTGTCCGTTGGTCTGCAGGACGCCTCGGGGCTCCAGGGGCTTCGTCTCGATGGAGTTGCAGTCAACGTGAAGGGAGGCGGTGTCGCGTTGCACGCTGAGGGCCAGCTTGTGCCACTGGAGGTCCGTCAGGGCTTCGACGCCTTCGCCGTTAAAGACGCAGCTCACCAGCTCGGCCTCGGGGTCGGTACCCCTGGCTCGCAGGGTCAGGGTGCCGTCGGGGGCGCTGAAGTCCACTGAGAGCTTCGGTTAGGGAGGAAGGGAGTCGGTTATGAAGGGGTAAGAAGTTAAACACTACATAAAAACGTATTGTATCTCAAGTTATCTCGGCTTGAACAAAGAATAATTTGCACTCGTAAATAGAAGCAAGCGGCGCCGAAGAATGACACATCAAAGACGAGGTAGTAAAGCAAGGCATTAATTACGCACACAAGAAGTGCAGCCAATCAATCACAACTAATGAGGCAACTTTGCCTCCATCCATCATACACACTAAGCATTTAAATCTGGCCTCAGACTCGTAGCGATTATCGAGACTCGGAGGGACTCCAGTGCTTCATCATGGAACACATATGAATAATAATGAAGGTGAATGAAAGACGATAGTTGGAGATGATTGAGGTAGGACGGACAAAGAGAAAGAGAGAGGTGGAGAGAGAGAGAGAGAGAGAAGGAGAAAGGGTTGCCCAATAACAAATAAGGCAGGACAAAAGGCAAATGGGATGAAAGGGTGAAGAGAATTGAAAAGATGTCGCGTGAGGGGAAAAAAAAATAAAAAAATCGACAGGGAAAGTGGATGACTATGCAAAAAGTGATGAGAGGGTCACAAAAAAGAAAGACGCGGAAGAAAAGTTAGATGATTAAAAGGTGAGCGATCGATGGATAGGGTATAAACGAGAGGGGGGATGTGTGGCGACGGGAGGAAAGAGGGCTGTTGCGGGACAACGAGAGTGTGTGAAGCAAGCAGCACCTGTGGATATCCCCGCTGATCCGATATCTGAAAGAGGTAGACGGTGTCCCTCAGTGCAGACTTTTTCAAAGCCAGGGTGAAGATCAACGTGAACTCGTCAGGTAAGCCGTGAGGGAACACTTGACTGGAACAAGGAGGTTAGGAAACGTCACATACGCGACGATTGCCAGCTAATTGAAATCATTCAGGAAAACAAAATGTACACATCAATACCTACTTTTATTTCCCAACAAAATATTTCATTTCAGTATTAGCTGGGAATGTTTTTAAAACATAAATAAGTATAAAACACTTTACATTAACACATGAAAATACATGCAATATTCAATTTAAAACATTTTTATATTTAATTTCGATTAATGATATTAAATACTGAAAAAAATCAAGTTTTTTTGGCCACTCTAAAATACATGAAGTATGAAATATGTTCACTGAATCAGACTGGGACTTTGTTGAAGCCGATTCTTTAACAACTCGCATCATTACCCAGGGATAAAATAAAGTACTGATCAGCACATCTGTCATCTTTTTTCAGACATTATGAATGCAAAAAAAACTCCTCTCAAAAGTCCAGATCATTTATATTTATATTCTTCACAATAATGATGATCAATGGCAATTCTGTCTTTCCGTTTACCCTTCAGACAGTATTTAGCTTGATCTCAAGGAGTTACTTTAGACAAAAGACAGGTTGAAGTAAAATTTCTAAGCAACCAACTGAACAAATCAATAAAATAATTTGTAAATTTATGAAAAACGTGAGTTTTTTAGAAGCTCTGCAGCTGTTTGTATTCCCAAACAGAAACAGGATTTTTTAAAAATATATATACACCGTTTTCCAGACACTCTGTTGGCCTGGCTTTGAATTATACCCATAAAGCACAATGCAAAGCTGCTGTGTCTGACCCCTTGGCATTAATTTTCATAGCAGAAAGAGTCCGGCGGGCTTCATCCTTCGGTTTCAGTCAAGGGCATCTAAGATCACAAATTCAAAACACACACACACGCAAACTCACACACACAAATACTATCCATACAGGTGTGTGGGTATATTGAGAGACGAGGGTTTCACGACAGAGACCAGTGAAATGTCTCCTCACTGAGTCGGTAAAAACTTTGAAATATTCTCCCTTGCTCTATTTCACTCCAACTCTTTCCCTTTGCACGCACACAGAATTGTTGATGCTGGCAGCTGGTCTCCTACTCCTAGAAGTTGGGTGACGTTGATTTATGAGCGAGGTAGGATCCTAGGGAAAACAGGCAAGTACGAGACGTCAAAACAAAGAAGATGAGTGCGGGAGGGGGAAAAAGGTGAGAAGGAGAAAACACTGAACAAAAAAGAGAAGAAAGAAGACAAAGAAGGACAGAGAGGTACAAAAAAATTTTTAAAATACATTGAGGGATCAAATAAATGCATAGGAGTTTTAGCTTTTCATAATTAAAGAATGTGGGTGGAAAAGCAGATAAAGAAAAGATGGAAAAAATGTGACAGAACGCGCCACAGACAGAGAGGAGAAAGGGAAAAAGTCGTGCTCAGAACAGAGTTGTTTTGCTGTCGATTAGAGATATGAGCTGCAGGGCACAAAACCACTCAGAAAAACTATCGACTTTTTTTTTTAAGTTGGAAGTGCTGAAACATTGCCTGTTACATTCAGGGTCATTAAAAAATATATAAATAAATAAATAAATAAAAATAAAATCCCTGAAACAGACGCTCCGAGAAGAGATCACCCAGAATGAATCAGACTGACTCAGATTTCAGGCAAACTTACATCTTCCTCTCTTGTTTTAGTAAAAAGAACCACAGGAGAGGAGAACAACAGAGGAAATATGATAATAAAACGGTAGATCTCTTGCTTAAGAACCGAATATTAACTGGGGAGGTATATCGACACCTGTATGCAGACTTCTTAGTGTGCTTGGATCCACTGCTTGCTGTGGCCTCTGTCTCCTAGTGCTTCAGTCAGAGCTAACCAGAAGGAATGTTAAACAGCGAGTACCTGACACATGAAAGAAGCGGACTCAGTTTGAAAGAGACAGCTGACAAATGCCTTTACATGCCGTAGGTTTTCCCTGTTGCTAGAATGCTTTGTGTTTCTTTCCTTTGTGAAGTTTAAACAAATTACAAACACCTAATCCGTAGCAGGGTCCTTACGCTATTTCCATAGTGGTGCACAGCTCTCAGGATGGATGAGTGGATGTTTTTGATATAAATGAAATTACAGTGAGTCAGCTGTTTGTGAAGATACCTGCAGTTATCACCCAATCAGCTGTTATCTTAGCTTCATGAAATATCTTTAACTGGCTTAAAAGCATCACATTCAGATTATTAAAAATAAACCTAGACTTAGCCAAATATGAATTTGCTGAAAACTGAAATCCCTGTGGTGAGATTTGACGTGTGTCTTCAATGTCACTTGACAAAAGTGAAAAACCTCGAAAACTGAGTAAGATATAAAGACTAACGAAGGACGTCGAGTTTTCCTTAGTCTTATTTAGTTCTTGGTGCAATCTAGTTTTTTTTTGTTTTGTTTTTATTGTTCCTGTAGTCCTTTCTAACTCATAGCAAGCATATTTAATTGCATCATTAGCTTTCTTCTAGTCAGGTAACTGTTCATTGTCAGTCTTCAGTTCGAAATGAGGATGTAGGGGAGAACAGGGCCAAGACTGAAACCAAGCCAACACATCCCTCTCCATTTCATCTCAGTCCAGAAGGGATATGCAATTTCTCCAGCATTTTCTGGATCTACCCATAAAGTTTCCTCCCAGCCGAGCCTAACAAAACAAACAAATAAAATTGAGGCATCCGAAAGACTTCGTAATCAGCTGCCTAAGCCGTCTGAGCTTTAATCATTTCGAAAGGACAATATCCCCTCCAAGGGAACTTGGAGGAGAGTTAATCTGTCTCTAAGGTGAGCTCAACAACCATAAGATGAGGCTCATTTCTGCCACCTTCGTATGGTTCTTATTCTTTAGCACATAATCCGTGTCTAATGACTGCAGACGATAGTCAGGACATAGATAGACAAGTACATTAAGACCTACACTTCTAGACTCCACTTGCTGTTCATCACAACACACCAGTGCAGCACCTTGACACTTCAATGGTCCTCTCACTCAAACAGGAATTCACCGGCATCGACTCCTAAAGTGTTGGGTAACGGTTTCATTTACCCTAGTAAGATGGAGCTTTGCTGCTCTTCTTTTGTTTGTTTGTTTGTTTTTTGTGGTTTTATTTTTTCAATGCCCCCCCTTGTTAGTTCCTGTCATGAATAAATCCATACTCACCTTGCCTGCAACAATGTCTAACAGGAAACACTGACTTACAGCTGAAAGAAACTGTCGGTCTGATCTTCCACGATCAGAAACGGCCCGGTCTGATGGTGAGGCGTTTATGAAGCGCAGTCAAGTTCTGCAGTCAGTATGGGTGTATCATCTCACAACCTGCCCACTGGCTCTTTATGCTAAAATCCCTGCCTTGGAAGCCTGCCATTGTGATGGTTATAGGATCCTTTTCTGCAAGACTGCTGTAGTCGTCTCTCATATAACACAAGCGGCTGAGCACTGGTGTCATGTCATTCATCTCTTTACTGAGCGTTGCCATTATTGTGCAGTCTCAGGCCCGGGTAAGTCAATTCTCATCCTATTATCCTGCCATAGAGACTGCACTCTGAAAGAATAGGTGGAGAGCATCATGGCTTCTCCTTTCTTAATTATATACATATACATGGAAAAAAAAATTAAGAGACCACATAAAATTACCAGTTTCTCTGATTTTACTTTTCATAGGCATATGTTTGAGTAAAATGAACATTGTTCTTTTATTCTATGAACAACCTTTATTCTACTTTTCCGAAATTTCAAGCAAACATTTTCTATTTATTTGCAGAAAATGAGAAAAGGTCAAAACAACAATTCAAATAATGCAAAGAAAACGAGTTAATATTCATTTAGAAACAGCAATGCTAATGTTTTAACTCAGGCAGAGTTCAGAAAGCAATATTTGGTGGAATAACCAGGAGGTTTTCGGTGGGGTTCAGTGCAATGGGCTCTTAATTTTTGTATGTATATGCAAGACAAATTTATCTGAGGCATCAAAACCTCAAGAAACAAAACAAAATTCAGTGAAACGTACATGAAAAAGACGTAGCGCAGCCTTTCTGTGCTCTCCTCATATGCTTGAGAGCAAAACAAAAACATCTTGAAATGTTGTTCTTCTGCCACACAGATTCTGGTTTCCTAAGAGGTGACAGAGTTCTGTGCGTGTTTTCTCTCTCCTTTCGCAAGAAATACTTCTTGCCGGGATTTTGACAAATAATATTTGTGACTCTTAAGATAAAAAGTAAAAAAATATGTTTCACGTGAAAAATGTGTTGTGTAGGCAGATTCATCTTCAAGCGAGTTCACACATCACATCCAAACACAGAGTGATAAAATACTTCGAGCTCTGAGCAGACCCATTTGGCAATTTCTAAAAAAAATAAAAATATAAAGTGTTTTATTATTGGGGAGTATAACATTAACATTTTATGGAAAGTACAAGGAAGGGAAAAAAAAAGACCAAAGAACAAAACCCTTAAAAGCATTTGTCAACTCTACAAGTAACCTCTGAGTAAAAAACCTTTAAATGTATAAAGACATAGCTACACAGAAAGGAAGCCTCATGCTGCTGGTTTTTTAATGACTAAAAATTGTGCCCAGAAAACAAGTTCAGAACATGTTCTAAAATGGAGCTGCCTAATCCTCACCCTGATAAATCTTTTTTCTGATTTTTTTTTTTTGTGGCTTGCAACTGCAACATGCCTACTAATTAAGACATCACTCCTACAGATTCTGCCAAGGCAAGTAAGGATGAAATTTCATTATGCAAGCTTGTTTTAATGCAGAGATGTGGTTAAATCCCCCCCAAAAATGATAAAATAAAATAAAATAGATTGTAAGAATTCACTTTTACAAGCCAGTAACAGTGGTAATTTTGGAAACTCAATCAGCGCCTGGCCAACGTTTCTTGCTTCTTCATGTAATAACCCTTAGACAGCGCTGACATGTGAACTTTCACAAGCCGATACGGCTAAAGGGTACATTCAGAAGGATGTGAAAAAGAGAAAGCCTGTCAAACTCTGTGCCCACACAGTGTGGGAAATCTTGCACATAATTTAACTTTTATTCTCCTTCCCTTCCACTTAAATCTGAACAAAACATATTTGTGCCGGATGAATTCCCCTGCTGGGGAAAGGAAGCAAAGCAGTGAAGAAGAAGACAAAAAAAAAAAAAAAGGGGAGAGAGAGATATACAACGGACTTACTCGCTTGGGCGCAAGAGTGACGCCTTGCCAAGGCGTAGGATGACAGAACCTCGGGGGTTGCGGAGCTTTCTGACATCTGTTTCTTTGAGCAAGGAGAATCGCCTCACCAAATTAAAACCTGGTGTGGGAGAAGTTCATCAGTAGGCAAAAATAGAATAAAAGTCAGATTGTTGTTACATTGGGCAAAATACGAACTGAACACATCAGTGCTTTTTTCAGTAAAGACTATTATAATACTCCTGTTGACATAATGTCCAGATATTATGGGTGAATATTACGACAAGTTAGTTCAAAACTAGGTTGTTTATAATAAGATGGGAGGACAAGAGAAAGAACTATTGAACAGATAAAAAGAATGAGATGTAAAAAAAAAAAAAGTATAGCAAGAACATACATAAAATCTGCTGGTACTTAGAAATAAATCCTGTTCCTCTTTAATGGAAGCTGTCCCAAAAGCATGATAGCCATGACAGGTTAAAGAGCTACAGTATCTTCGGACGTCTGATACTGTGTAGTCAGAAAACAAACTGCAGAAAGCTTTTGTATTTAACCATGAAGTGTAAATTCCAAAACATTTCACATAACTTAATTTTCAGGGGCTATTTATTGTGATTTCTTGTATTTATAAACTACTTGGGTTAATTTCGGCATACAGTGTGAATTTAAAGTCAACAGCACCATTGAAATCTGTTCACTGAAAGAAACATCAACATGTTCGATACTCGTTTTGCCCTCTCAGTACGGGTACATAAGCTTGTCCAATTCACCAGTAATGTTTTGCCTGGCCGTCCGAGGAAACTTCCACTCAGCCACTTGTAAGGACGGGCATTGTACACCTGCGGTAACAAACAAAACATCAAGCGTCAAAAAACAGCCGCAGAGGTGAAAATCCCTGAAATGTCCAGCATTTTTTAGATGTGGAAAAAAAAAAAAAAGAAAGTCATCTGACAACAAATGCCAAAAGAAACCATCAACACATCTTTCTGAGTGATATGGACAGAGTTTGTGAGCGTGAGTGAACTGGCAACTTCAAACATAAATTTGAGTGGAGCTTGAAATATTTATCAAGAAAGAAAGATGGAAGGAGCTGTTGGGGGTGAAAGTGAGTTAAAATAAGTGTAAAAAAAAAAAACAGACAGGCCGATGAAATGAAGGCAAAGCTGTGCAGAGTGGAACACAACCTGATCTGACAGGTTGTCTAGCACCCAGCTTGTCTGTCGCGGCAGCCTCATTTTGATGGACGTGTTCTCACCCCGTTGGGGGAGGTTGCAGAGTAAAGTGTTGCCTGTCAGAGCGGCCCGACTGACTGCAGGGGGGTAAGAGATGTAAGATTTTTAGAGAAACCACAACTTGTAAAGGTAGACGCGGACCCTCTGAAACACTGTGATCCACGGTTAATTTGATCTCTTTGGGGCCAAGGACAGTGGCCCTGAGCCAAGCCATACCATCAAGCATGCTTGTTTTTTTTTGTTTTTGCTCCCAAAAAAAGAAAAAATCTGGGAGCAGATGGAACAATGTGATAACCTAAAATAAAACAGAACCGTTTTCTCTAGGCTGTGTTCACATCAACAATCATTTGAGTGAAAGGGTTGGATATTCTTAAGAGTTTTACATTGCTAACAAAGTTGTTGCTGTAAAAAAGTCAAATCTTATTGTTATCTTTTCCCTTCTGGTTAGAAATCCAAGTGCTGCAGATTGCACCTACCGATTGTATTGAAAAGTCCAAGGCAGCTATGTACGCCTTCTTCAGAGTTTTTATGGAAAACAAAGACATTTTTTTAAATGGTTAATTTAAGTAAAATGTCAAGCAATGAATTATTCCAAGACTATTTTTTACATTTATACAGTAAATGTTTTATTGAAATCTGTCCTAAAACAATCAGTTTTGATAACTTTTGATAACGCGTTTTATGAGTCAATTCATAAGCTGTTTTTTTATTATTATTTTATCAGTACTTTAAATATCAAATATAAGCTGCTATAGTTTATGACAGCATACAAATAAATGTGATCATATCTATTAAAATTGACAATAATTATTTTATTTTATTTTTACACCATTTCACTTTCAATTCAGTTACTGTACAAACATTGCATTTCCTAATCCCAGTACTTGTGTGACACAGGAAGATCATCAGCTTTGAAGTAATTATTTACTCAATGCAAATGTTTTAAAAGCTTTTTTAAGAAAGTCAAATGAAACACCATGACACTTTTGAGACTGGTATTATTTTCAGAAGAAGAAGAAGAAGCCCATTTCAGTCTCTAGGATTAGCCATCAGACTTAACAGTTGCTTTCAGGGCCAACTAGAGTAAATGAAGGCACACAGTTTTAACCAGATATTAACTGGTTATACACACTCAACAGAATCTTGTATTAAAAATGTAGAATGTTAAAGAAAGCATTTCCAAGGTCAAGAATTTTAAAAAGTGGCTTATTTATAAAAATTTAGATTTGTCAGTATGTTTGCGTTCTCTGTTTGCACTTTTGTATTTTATACATCTATCATGCAAGCTTTAAATCAGAGATCTGACTTAGTTTTTCATCTTCCTAGTTCTTTTTTGAAACAGACTCTTTTTTGGTGTCTCTAGCCTGATACAATTCTACAAGGTCAATTTCTGGTTTAAGCCAATTTAAACAAGACAGCCTTACATCATCTCATCGTTGTTAGATATGTAGAGAATCACTGACAGCAAAGTACTCTCTAAGAAAAACAGAACAACCACCTCATACTTCTGACACTCCCTTCACTGTGCATTATGGAAGAAGATCTTTTTTTTTTCCCCAGAAAAGAAACATTTTTGGTCTTGAACAAGCAGGCATTCTGTTACAGAGGGCCAACTACTATACCTTTGATTTGTGACAGCTGACTTCACATCAACATGCGTTTAGCTTGCGCGAGTATGATCCGATTATTAATATTTTAAGTTTCACCGCTCGTCGTCAGTTCTGCTCATCTGGGCTTCAAAGTAGCAAAGACAGTGTTTCAAAGCGAAGCACACGTCATCCTGTCTGAAGGGACAATCTGTCATTTTATTATTGCCGTCTACGAGTGCAAATCACGGCGTGAAAAAAAATACCTATCAAACAGTAAATCCGGCTTGACGTCTGATCATTAGACGCAGTCAGGGCATCAGATAGAGGTTTGAAGTCTTCTGAGCCGCAGAACTAACACACAGTATATCTGAACTATCCTGAAAAACATTCTGTCAAATCAGCCCAAAATGCAGCCTAAATACACAAAATATATCCCCATGCATTTTTTTTTCACATCACTGATCCACAGATTTATTTATTTTTCTCAAGTAAAGATGCACCAAGATCTACCTTCTGTTGCTGCTTCATCTGTTTTCTTTATATATATATATATATATATATATATATATATATATATATATATATATATATTTCCATCTGTCAAAGAGAGGATGAAGGATCTGCCAGACACAGGGTTATTCTGGCTGAAGGTAAAAGCGGATGGCACAAAAAGTTAAACAGGCCAACAGATAAGGAGGAATAGAAACAAATGACAGCAGAGAAGATGGACGTGGAAAAAAGTCTTCACACCTTAAAACATTAAGACTTTTTTTTAGAACCATGGTGTTCTGATTTGTGATGAAGTCATCAATAGCTAACAGGGGTAAAAACTGAACGGGAACCCGTCATTTGTGAGGGAGCTTATATTTTCTAAGCCTTCTGTTGATTTTTGTTGGTTTTATGATAAGTTCGCTTGTCAAGCTAAATAGCAATGAGCCACAAGCATTTAAGAACCTGCTCTTACAAAAATTAGAGTAGACATATTTCATAGAAACCAACTTAAGATTTCTTAAGGAGAAGGTAGCAAAGTGACAATACAGTGGAGTTTAATATTTTAGCTAATTTAATTATTAAATTGTATGATGTTAGCATATTTTAGGGGTGCTGACTTGCTAGCTTAAAGATTTAGCCAACTGAGCAGTTAAAAAAAAGGTGTCAATGAAATAGATGAAATACTAACAACCTTATAGGCAAACAATGTTAAGCTATATCTTTAAGCAAATATGATTGAATATTGGGAATCAGTAATGCATTCAATAGACAGGCCACATGTTTTGTACAGAAAGTAAGGAAAAGGGACAATGTTTTAATTTCTGCCAATATAATTAAATCAAACTTTTCCTTTTAAAAGTAAACGATTATTAATTTCTGGTTTCTAGTTTATTGGTAATTTTATCGTAAATTATGATTTTTTAAACCACTTAAATGCCAATTAAATCTCTTAATGAGTTTGATAATATATGGGAGATAATGTATATGGATTTATTCTATTTTGTGTGAGTGAATACACATTAAAGTTCATTTAATGAGATGCCAGAAAATGTGCCAGAGATTTTTCTTTTTCTTTTTTTTTTTCTGGCTGCATGTAGAATACCGCAGTATCTCATTCCACCTTCCCCATCTGTTGCTGAGAAAGACTTATCGGCTCACGTGAAAGCTGTTACCTGTGTTACCAGAAAGGTAATGTTGGCCAAAAATAAATATTATACTTCACTAAAAAAAAACTGTGTCAGCACGTGATATTTTAGCAACAGTCGCAATCATTCTCACTTTTTTCTTCTTTTTGTTATCATTAAAACTGTTTCGATCGCGTTTGACATTTTTGTGTTAATCGTTTGCGTGAATACTTGGAGACTGAAAAATGAATCTTCTTTTCTCAAGGTTATCGGACCTTGAAGATCTCCCAAAGATTAATACACACAAAGCGATAGAACTGTCAACGTCCCTTTGCTTTATCCAAGTCATCCTCTTCTCTAACACAATAACGTTGTGTGTTTTGAAGATCCACACAAGTTAAGGAGCTATGGACCCTCTTTTATAATCACTCGTTACATACATGTGTATTTGATGATCTCATGATAATGTTTGTGCTCCATGAACACCTTTACTCCAACCATTGGACATCCAAAAACATCTTAATTACGACTGTTTAAGTTTAGTCAGTGCTTTTCTTTTTTTTTAGGTTGGCATAAATGTTATGTTTTTACCCACAGATTCCATCAAAATTTAGCCTAAAATCAATCCAAACCAGCTTTAACACAACTATTGATTTTTTTTTTCTTGCCAACATGTCATCTTTTAAACCACAAATTAATATTGTTTAGACAGAATCCAACATTGTCTTTTCTATTGTCTTTTTTATATATGTTTAATGAACATTTGCTCAGAAAGATTGACCTGAGTGGACCTGGCCGCCCCTCAGTTAATTAGCTTCTGTGGGTGTGCTAACCAAAGCAAAAACAGAACAGATTAGAAATCAATAGTGGTTATTGTGATAAAATACTCTTCTTGTGAATGTTGATTGCTGTACGTTAGAAACTATGCTTTGACACAGTATGCTTGGGTGGATATGTTTAGATCCTACGGGTCTTCATTCTTACACTAGGAACCGAATTAATAGCCTCTTCTTAACAGACAGTTACTCCCAGTGAAGGTAGAAAAACACTAATTCCACATAAGTCAAAGGCTAAAACATATTTTGGGGACTTTCACAGCATTAAGCAGTTTGGCAGAGGACGCGCCACATTCTTTGAACCCCATTTCCCCTCAAGCAGAGATCAAGGCAAAGCTTTTGCTTGTTGACAAGCTAATTAGCACAAAGTTTGAGCGGTTTTGCCAGCATCCTGCTAGTAACTGCATGTAGCCTTGAAAAGATTTGGGCGATTTTGGCTCACTTCGACCTCCTCTTTCATGGGTTGTGTTCAAGCCTTGCCAAAGCAGGTAATGATCCTACACTGGCAGTCAGTCAGTAAACTGCTGAGTGGCACCCCGCCCCCATGCCCCAATCCCATAAGTCTT